AACTCCTATAAACTGTCCTCTGACCCCCACATGTGAGCCAACGCACATGGATATAACTCCCCACACAAAACAGAAAATGCAATAATTTTCTTTTTAAAAAGAAGTGAATAACTAAAAAGCAGCCAAAACAGACAAGTGACAGAGAAAAGTTAGTTTTATGGAACATATACTTGGACATCGGATTGAAGAGACCAGAGCCTCTCTCAGAAAAAAATAGAAGTGTGGCTAAGAGTGTCGTTTGGTTGGTAGAACCAGTGAGCACAAACAGGGTGTGGCAGCACACACCTGAAATCCCAGCATTCCTACCTGGATGGTGGATAAAGGTAGAAGGATCAGATGCTCAGGTTACCCTTGGCTACCCAGGGCAGCCTAGGCTACAGAGATCCTGCACCCCCCATAACGGAAAATATTTCCTAAACCTGAACAGAAACCATCTATCTGCAGAATCAACGGACCAACTGCAGGAAATACCTGTACTCAGAGGTCCATGACAATGCTGGATTCTTAGCAGCTTTTGTTTTGTCTTTGTTTGTTTGTTTTTCTCTTGCTGCAATAAGCTAGCCTGACAAGAACAATTTAAGGGAAAATGGGTTTATTTGGCCCATGACTCAGTCAATGATGGTCACAGCAGGGACAGGAGCTTGAAGCCACTGACCACAACCAGAAAAGAGCAGTAAATAAATGCTGTGTGCTATTGCTCAGCGAATTTCTCCACACTTACACCCTTTCTTAAACAGAATCCCCTGCCTAGGGAATAGTGCCACCCATAGTGGAAGTGGCTTTCCACCCAATCAACACCATCAAGATAACCTCCCGCAGGCTTGTTCTGAAGTGCCTTCCAGCTGATTCTGGGTTCTCAGGGTAATAATTAGCACTGACCAGCACGGCTGGCTACAACCTGCAAAAACAAACAACAAAAAACGGAAAGGGCCCAAATGTTCCTGCACAGAAGGCCATGAAGAGCGTAAACACTATTCAGGCCTGCAGTGAGGGCTGACAAGGGTTAAGTGGACTTGACGTAGTTTTGTGTAAAGACTCCTAATACACAAGGCCTGAGAATGTCGGAGTCCCTCAGGTAAAGAAGCATCCAAACCAGAGGTTGCCGGAGCAAGAAAGCAGGTAGTGATGGTGCTGGAACGGCGCTTCTGCTGGACTTTTATTATGCTCATACGCACTGCGGCTGTACACTCCTGTCGTTTTCCTCTGTCAAATGCTGGGGTGGGTGCGCCTGCCTCAAACTTTAAAAATTAAAGGCCGGGCGGTGGTGGCACACGCCTTTAATCCCAGCGTTGGAGAGGCAGAGGCAGGCAAGTCTCTGAATTTCAGGCCATCAAGGGCGCCACGGAGAAACTCGAAAACAACAAACAAACATATTCAACACGAAAACCAGTCATTTGTGTCTGCGCGTCCATAACGCAAAAGTAACAGAATCTATGAGGGGGAACCCAGAATGCTAACCTCGAAAGTTCTGCAGCCAAAGAGCATGCGCTTGAGGCTACAGCCACCTACCTGGAGGAAACCTGGCGCCGCCCAGGCACAGTGACGCTGCCTGCGGCCACCGAAGCCTGGAGACCTGCAGGACAGCGCCCAGGGCCGCACGTGCTCAGCTGCTGGGACGCCTGGGCGGAAAGGGCAGGCCTGGCGTGCCCTCTGGACTCGAGCCCAACGAGCACCACCCGGGAGCCCTACCCGAAGACACCTGGGTACGCTCGCCGGGACGGCCCCGCCCCCTTGTGACCTGTACGCTTCCTGGACACGGCCCCGCCCTCAGCAGGTTTCCTCTCCGTGGGGCCCGCCCACCGTCCGGCGCTGCAATCTAGCTTTCCTTCGGGTTGACTCCGCTGGACCAGGCCTGCTGGGGGCCTGGTGACCACTCCGCGTGGCTCTGGGGCTGGCGTAGAGCTCTGAGCCGCTGTTGTACCCCCCTATCCTGTGCCGACCTGGCCTGCTGCAACCAGGGACACCTGTCCTAGAATAGTGGACCGGCCTGCTATCTTCCCCGTTGTCCTGCTGGGTCTCTTGCCCTCAGTCTGCCTTGGTGTCACGCTAGGGTTCTCAAGGGACTCTCCTGTTTTGCTCAGGCTGCCCCTGGTGGGCTGGCTCTCCCATCAGGTCTAAGGCTAGCAGGTTGGTGGGCCTGAGAAGGAAGATCTAGGCCATGGGGTTAGTGAGGGCCTGGAGGCCACACTGTGTGCAGGTTTTGAGCAACTTGTGTTTGGACTGGTGCTGCTAAAACCAGAATTCCACTGCAGGAGGTGGCTTTGACTGATGGAAAGGGTTAAGGGGCAGACTGAAATGGAATTGTCCACAGGGTGCCCAGGAACTGGGCTGTAAGCATTGTGTGCTGGAGGCAGTCTGGGTGGAAAAATGGAAAAGGGTGGTGGGCCTTTCAAGCCACCTTCATTCCTTTCTGCCCTTGGGCTAAAGCCACTACCTGCCTCACCACCTATCTCGCAGCCTTGAGCCCACAGCCACGCCCTTCCTGTGGGCTGGATGGAAACTGGAAAGTAGCCACATCTCTGTGGCACCCGCCAGGGGTGCTGAAACCTGCCCCAGCTGGCCTGCCCTCCCGTGTAGTAATCATTCATGCCCTGTATGCTTTCACAAATGTCTGGGCGTTGAAATAAACTCTGGCCTAGCACTACTTAAAACAGTACTTTAGGGGCTGGAGAGATGGCTCAGAGGTTAAGAGCACTGACTTGTTCCTCCAAAGGTCCTGAGTTCAATTCCCAGCAACCACATGGTGGCTCATAACCATCTATATAATGAGGTCTGGTGCCTTCTTCTGCAGGCATGATATTGTACAAATTATAAATAAATAAATCTTTTAAAAAAAACAACAACAGTATTTTAAGCTTGAAGAAGCAGAAACCCAGAAGAGAGGCAGGAAAGCCAGATCAAGATGGGCCTTGGCATCCAGAAGTCCAGCCCTTTTTGGAGTTGCTGTTGAAAAAGCACATAAGTAGTAAAGTATTAAGAAACAGACACTCCCACACACAACTCATGAACAAGAATGGCCCCCAGAGGTTCCTGTATTTCAATGGGTCCCAGTTGGTGGACTGTTCAGGAAGGATTAGGAGGCATGGCTTTGTGGGAGAAGGTGGGTCACAGGGGTGGGCTTTGAGGCTTCAGAAGTCCACACCAGGCCTGGTCATATGCATGCTCGCACTCCCTGCGTCCACCTTGCTGATCAAATGCCCTGCCTGCCTGCTGACATGCTTCCCATTAGGATGATCATGAACTCTCTGAAACTGTAAGAAAGCCCCCAATGTAGACACATGTTGTGTGTGTGTGTGTGTGTGTGTGTGTGTGTGTGTGTGTGTGTGTGT